CTAAAAACGGTATCTCATAGTCCCTAGGATGGGCATTAAATGCAACATCGCTGAGAACAGTATTTTCTATTCGGTTAATTCTGGTCAATAACCCATGGGACAAGATACCCCGCATCTATTCCTGTAAAGCCAGGTATATCAGCGGTTCGACGCCAGTTTACATATATATATATATATATAAACCGCGCGCACACACACAGGGGTTTTAGAGGAATATATGCGTCGGTGGCACAGTGGTTAGGACTCTCGCCGACCATACGCATGGTCCGAAGTTCGATCCCCTGCCGACGTACACCTGATATCTATGGTCGGTCTGCAAAATTTGGGCTACCAATATCACTTGCTGAAAATTCCATACTTGTACCAAAAATACAGTGTGGAATCAAGCTGTAATCAAAAATAAAAAAAATAATATAATATAGCAAGCCTTTATTACCATTCATTTTATACCTTTAATGATTTAGACAAAGTACATAAGGTAATAGAGGGTGCAGGATGAAATGAAGATTTGTCTTTAGTTTCTTCAAGGAATCAAACAAAACGGGACCTTGTTGATTAGTACCAATAAGGATGGAAAGTAAAGAAGCAGGATTTTTGCGGGTAATGAATGACATCTTCAGATATTATAAAAAATAAGTCGAAAGTATGTAAAGAATGGGGAAAGCGATTATTATCGCATTTAAACATCTAGAGACAAAAAAATGTTTGTGTATTTTGTAAAATAATTCCTAGACTATATATGGCTTATTTCGGAGGGGCGATTGTAGAATTAATAAGATTGCTAGGCCATTACAACACTAGGCAAACAAGTGGTAATTATGATACAATTGGTGGATGGTGACAAGCAGTGGAATCCAGGATGCGCATTTCGTCCTATTTGGGACTCTTCATCTGGATGTACCTGCATTTCTCAGTGAGTGATGATGTTCCCACTGAGGCTCGAACCCAGTGCCCATAGTTTCGAACGCCAAAGCGTTATCCACTAGACCACTTGGGCCACGAGAGCCACCTCTTGTGCAACGGGTCATATTAATTATTGAATTTTATTTTTTGATTTTCCCGTCGATTGATCCAATTGATCCAATTCAATAATTAATATGACCCGTTCCACAAGAGGTGGCTCTCGTGGCCCAAGTGGTCTAGTGGATAACGCTTTGGCATTTGAAACTATGGGTACTGGGTTCGAGCCTCAGTGGGAACATCATCACTCACTGAGAAATGCAGGTACATCCACTGGCTGACGAGTCCCAAATAGGACGAAATGCGCATCCTGGATTCCACTGCTAGTCACCATCCACCAATTGTATCCTAACTAAATGCCCAGACATCGTTGAAGCATCTGCACAAGAAGCCGATATGTCAACCTGAGGCCGAGCACTTCGGTCCAATCAATCGACGGGAAAATCAAAAAATCCAATTCAATAAGTGGTAATTATAATGAAAAAAAACTGCGTTGAAATTACACAGAGCTTTACAAACAAACAGGTGACATGTGAGATAATAGAGGAAAGTACAAATGGAGATTATAATAGTTTAGCATAGATAGACCATAAAGGAAGGAGCAGCTGAGTGAACACTTTTGTGTGCACAAAGCTCTCGCTTTCCTATGTTTCACAGGGCCAAAGCTTCAACAATACAGATTAGTCGCACACGCAATGATTTGCATGGGTTTATTCTTCGTCATGTAGATAACTTAAAAAGGAAGAGGATGTTGGACTAAGATGGTCGGTATTGAGTAGATATGTTCAAATGCTACGAACGATCCTAAGAGCTTCATTTCTCCCTCTTCATAATCATACACTCTACTGTTCTTGCCCTTCTTGGACAAAACTGGCGTCGAACAGCTGATATATTTGGCTTTACAGGAATAGGTCGGAGGGGGGATATCTTTTCCTATGGGTTATTGATCAGTAATGGCCGAATAGAAAATACCATTCCCAACAATGCTACATCTAATGTCCATCCTGGAGACTATGAGATACCAATTTTAGACAGATCGGTAGTTAAGTCTCCTTTGAATTCAAGGTTAATTCCCTTGGACAGAGACGTCGATTTAGCGATTTCGATCAACACACTATTCAACCAGACATCTAGATTGTTCGCCATTTGCTGACCTGTATTCTTGTGTGTGTGTGTGTGTGTGTGTTAATGTGTTAGTATGTAATGGAGTGTTGTTGTCTAGTAAATATCTGGATAGCTGGTTTTTTAGGATCTCTTTTACAGTTTTATTCCTACAAACGGTGTCTACGTTAAATGCATGAGATGGTATAAACAGATAGATTGAAAGTTTTTGTTGTAATGGCGTTAAATAAATGACATCTACTCCCTTAATACTAAGTCGCATAGGATGTTTATCACCGTTTGTGTGTTTGATGTGATACAGTTTATCAGGAGTTTTTTCTTTATGTTATCATACCTGATTTGTTGTCGCTTCAACATCATGTACAAAAGTAGTAGAAACGGTGCGCGTCATCCCTGAACAGAGGATAGAATGTGTTAGTTAAATCACCCCACCCCAGACTTCATCGACTCTTACTTAAAAGGTCTTCAACAGCTTTCGGAAATTGCTCTAACACTACGAATGATGATACCACATGTCAAGTGATTCACTCAGAGATGACTTTGAAGTAAAGACAAGACTACCTACTATCACCGATGATATTCCTAATTGTCACAGACCATTGGGTGTAAGAAAACTGAAGTAACTTTGGACTGGCAAGAAGACTGTAGAAGACTTGGACTTCACGAACGATTGATGTGTTATGTCACAAAAGCGCGATAATCTGCAGTCTAAAATCAATAAGTTGGAAGAAGAAAAACAGAGAAGTCAGGAGATCAAGTGAATATGGAGAAGCCACAAGTGAAGAGGTCAGCAAGCCACCACTACAAACGCCAAAAATCTGAAGGAAGCCATCTCTTCCACTTATCAAGGCAGTATCATTTAAATTAGAAGCAGTGATACGGATGATGGGTTCCAAAACCAGCTAGGACTGAAAAAGTCAAGTATGGAAATCAACTTGACTCATCACAAGGAAGAAAATTCGAATTTTCAATACTAGTCTCAAATCAATAAGTGCATTTATATGGTTCAGAAATTTGTTGGCAGTGTCACTAATAGCACCTCCAACAAGCTGCAGTCTTCTAACAACAACCTCATCCTCTCCAAGATGAAGACCGGGCGGTCCACCAGAAAGGATTGACAATAAAGAACAAGGAGCCCGCTAATGAGGACTACAAAAACCAGAATCAGAATGATGTGCAGTTGAATCCCTATGCTCTACTCAGATCCTAAGTGAATGTAGCATTAGTCCTTATTGATTTATTCGTAGTTTCCCTCATATTCCAATAGTTCTTGCTGGCATTCCAAAGAGGATTTTACGCACAGAACTTAGAAGAAATGGTGAAATATTCTACAATAGTGTAATGCATCAATTAAATTCACAACTCCCTCCTCCACTTGGTTAGCAGTTTACAGTTCGATTGGTGGAATTTCACTGTGGTTTCCTTTAGAAATCATGTTATACCGATCATAATATCTGTGTGATCTGCTTGATACCAGCATAAATGGTAATCAAGGCGGCAAGAAAATTTGAATAAAGCCATATACTCATTATAATAAAGGTTTTTGTATTTCCCAATGAATGAATGAATGAATGAAAAACAAAACGCTATTGCCGCTTTTACTGACGTTTCGCTATTTAATGCTACTGCTAATAGCTTTATCAAGGTAGTATTAAACCGGAATTTACAAAATCCACTCAGCATATGTATATAACAAAGAGTTAAGGGGTGAGAAAATAGACTACTTAGGTCAAGTTAAAAGGACATATTGAAAGTCAAAATAACAATGAAGACCACTAAACTACATCTGTTATGATATCAAAACAAAGTTTACTAACTTGATCATCATTCGTCAGTCTAGGATCATTTTTCGTTGTCAAGTTGGTCAATTGGTAAAGATAACAAAACCAAGTGTAGATTGTTGGATTTGATCAGTGTGTGACATTATAAAAGTAGTGTGTGTTTGCATAGTGAACTTGCTTATCATATTCGTGTTGTTTTTGTCACTTCGTTGGGGAAGGGAGGCGGGAGGTGTTGTTACCATGTCAGATTTTGTTTGACTTTCAATATGTCCTTTTAACTTGACCTAAGTAGTCTATTTCCTCACCCCTTAACTCTTTGTTATATATATATATATATATATATATATATGCTGAGTGGATTTTGTAAATTCCAGTTTAATAATACCACTTTGATAAAGCTATTAGCAGTAGCATTAAATAACGAAACGTCAGTAAAAACCGCAAGAATATCGTTTTGTTTTTCATTCATTCATTCATTCATTGGGAAATACAAGAAAACCTTTATTATAATGAATATCATATACCCAATGACCAAATTTTTTTCAAACTGTTAAAAGAGTGAACTTAGTTTGGACATATATAAAGCCATATACTACTAGGTCCACTGATAGGCTCGACCCCGAACAAGCCAAACAGTCATCAGGTGTTTAGATCATCTCTACCCCTGCTGGGTGGTGGTAGTATTACTACTCATTTCAACCAATCAGTTAGTAGTATATGCTAAAACGCATTGTTTGGAATAACACTGACAACTTGTGTGTCTGATGTCCGGTATCTCTTGTTTCATTCGTGTATATATATTTTTGTTTTGTTTTATTTTTGTTTACGTTTTATCTTTCCTCTCCTCCATCCTTTAGTTTCCTCCTATTTTTTTCGTTTATTTATTTGTTCGTTGTGAGTAGTGAAAACAATATATATATTTATATAATATATAATAGTAGTGGTAGTAGTAATCATAGTTAATAAATATTTCATCATTAGTTTTTGATTTGTTCATATTTTCATTCATCCTGCATATCGATTCATTACTCTCTCTAATCAAATTGTTTCTCATCTACCCTACTTAATAATACTTTTTTGCTTTTTCTTTTCTTTTTCTTTTCCGTGTTTTTTTCTTTCTGTTTTATGATGCATTAGGTAATAATGATGTTACAGTTGGTAAATTCTATGCAACCTTTTTAATCCAAGAATGGTTCCGTCGATGGAAACAAAAAAAGGCTGAAGAACAGAAAGCCTTACTTCATGGTCAGGTTAGTTATATGATCATCAATTTGAACTGAACTAAATACTACTATTATTATTATTATTATTATTATTATTGTGGCCAAGTTAAACTTTAAGCACCCCAATACACAACTTGCGATAGAGTGCCACCGCGCACCAATGAATGACTTTGAAACATTCACTGAGCTAGTTAGTGAAATCTGTCAAATAATTTTGTCATCATGAAACAAAAATATGCTAAGGGAATTGTTATGTTATTAAGTGGGATATATCTGGTAAGTTTCAGGTTAGGGCTATGGCAAATGATAAGTGAAACAATCTTGGAGAAAAATGGCACCATAATTAGCTCCAAGGATAGACGACTGGAACACTGAACAGGGCACTATAAGGAGCAGTTTAATTGGCCTACAACCACGCTCAACCTGCCTAACATCCAACACCTCCTTGAATGGGATATAGACAAAGGTCCTCCATCCCTAACTGAGGTTACTAAAGCTGTCACTAATCTGAAACAAGGCAAAGCAGCAGCACCTGATGGAATGACTCCAGAGGTATTTAAGTACGGTAGAGACAGTTTACTCTACGCGTTAATTGAGATACTAGGCAGCGTCTGGGAATCAGAAGATGTCCCGTCGGGTTGGTGTAAGTCAGGAAGGGAGACAAGTCTTCCTGTGATAATCACTAATGACTAATATGGTATTTAAAGTCTAAGGCACAGTGGTTAGGACTCTCGCCGACCATGCACATGGTCCGGGGTTCGAGCTCGCACCGACGCACACCTGATATCTGTGGTCAGCCTGCAAAATTTGGGCTACCGATATCCATGCTGGAAATTCCATACTTGTACCGAAAGTACAGTGTGGAATCAAGCTGTAAATCAAAAATAAAAATAAATAATCATTCGTAGACTAAGTGGTGCTTGGGAGGCACAAACACGAGAGAGCCAGGCAGGCTTTAGACCAGGAAGAGGGTGTATCGATCATATCTTCACCCTTCGAGAGATTCTAGAACATAGACATTCCTACCGGCGTCCAACAATCATTATATTTCTTGACCTGAAAGCAGTACTCGATTCTGTCCACCGAGAAGTACTCTGGCGATGCTTGGCTGTAAAGGGAATGTCGAGAAAATGCATTGCACTGATTAAGGCACTCGACTTGAACTCAAGCAGCCAGATGAGGGCTTACGGCGAGTTGTCATCTGAAATGGTGACGACTAGTGGTGTCCGTCAAGGATGCCCATCATCCCCATTTCTATTCAATTTCATCATAGATGTACAAATGAACTTAACCCTAACTCACTTCAGAGACTCAGGGATTGACTTGCTACCAGGGTATGAATAATCTCGTTGACTCGGAATATGCAGACGATATAGTCCTTCTAGGCGAGGACACTGACAAAATCCAGCAGAGTCTTCTAAACACGTTGAGCTGCGATCTACGAATGTTTAGCATGCGATTCGCTCCCGCCGAATGCAAGGTGATATTACAGGACTGGACCAAACTGACTCCTAGTTTAGAAATAGGGAGTGAAGTGGTAGTGTGAGTTGACCGCTTCACTTATTTGGGAAGTACCATCAACCAACGCCAACGGCTTGATCTCTGACGAAATCTCAGTACGGATACAGTGGGCTCGTTTCGCATATGCCAGTTTACGCCGTCTCTGGCGTAGAAGAGATATCCGGGTGTCGACCAAAGGGCAGGTGTACTGTTCATCAGTCCGCTCCGTCCTCCTTTATGGCTGTGAGTGAGACATGGCCATTGAGAGTGGAAGACATGAAAAGACTAGCTGTCTTTGATCATAGGTGCCTGTGCTCCCGTGTGAAGTGGTATAATAAGGTGAGCAATATTGAGGTTAGACGTCGAGTGTTAAGTAAGGAGGGGAAATCAATCGATGAGGTAGTGAAGTTACATCGACTGAGATGGTTGACACATATGTTACGTATGCCTGCCTAGCCATCGCCTTCCTTGACAAGCAATGTTAGTGGATACAGGGTCAGGCTGGAAAAGAGCTAGCGGCGGTCAAACCAAAACATGGCACCAGTCAATCAAATCTACAACAGTTAGTTTAGGTCACGTAGGAAGGTGTATACTTCCTGATTGGGGTCCTCGGGACAGTGAAAACCAATTGTTGGAAACAATTGGTGGTATGGCTCAAAATCGTTTTCAATGGCTGGTGCAGATGCATCCACTCCCTGTGATTTATGATCTCCAATGAAACTGTTTTGTTCTTCGTTATTACTCCTTTGTCTCACACCTCCGCTTACTGTCTCTATTATGCTTTTCTTGTACTTTCTTCTCTTACTTTGTGTGCTACATGGAGTGTGGCGACATGAATTGCCGCACATATGTGCAAAGTTCTATGTCGAAAATAGACAGACAGGGCTATGGACATATTGGGGTTAGATTAACCTAACGAGTGAGATATTAGAGTTGGTTCGAATTAAATTAAGGTTAATTTAATTTAATTTTATATTTTGCTGTCGATTGATTGAACCGAAATAGTGCTCAGTCTCAGGTTACCATGTCTGTTGGCTTCTTGCGCAGATGCTTCGACGATGTCTGGGCATTTAATTAGAATTTAATTAGTATATTTCAACTGCTAGATTTCTTCACTAACTAATAATAACAGTCAAAGAAATGACTGAAAAACAAGGAACACTGAACAACCACTTCGTCGTATTCTCAGACTTGTCAGTAGTACGCACCATTTCAAGGTGAATTAGCTCCTCACCCAAGACATTGACTGAGGGCAACTCTAAACCCCTAGTTGGCTAAGTAAGAATTCAGGGATCGCTTGAATTCCAGCCCAAGTTGATTTATAGCCAACAAGCTAACTGTCATCACATGAAGGTCCTAGGGTTGATCCCTGTGTTGTGGGGTAATGGGTGAGCACTGATGGTGAGTCCCAAAAAATAGGACAAAAAATAGCTATCTAATGCTTCCTGTGAATTTTCAATGATCTCTCTCTCTCTCTAGTTGATATTGGTTCGTGACGAAGTCTAACAACTGAAATTAAATTCATCCAAACCTTTGCTAATCCCATAATCTAAACAGTGCAGCATATACCTGGTTAAGATATGTACTTTTATAATTCATCTTTTATAAATATGTCGAAATATAGGTTATGGTGACACGGAAGTCATAATTTCAGACATGATTAGAGAAAGATTTTAGGTAGGTAGCATATGATCGTTCGGATTAGATACCTTTTTATTTTAAATGCTCTGATTAATTGCGTGAGGAAGTTTAAACCAGTTTGCTGAATACAACGATGGAATTATTTCTCTCGGTAACACAGAGATTTCTTTAAGTATATTTTGACTATGTTTTTATTAAGTGATCAGTATGTATAGCACAATGAGTTCGATTCCTGATCTGAAAATTCAGATCTGTAGAATAATAGCGACAATAATTTTTTATCGATTATTTTAAAATGAATAAAATATTAAATCCTTTTAAATGAATTGTCATCAAGATTTGATCGAATAGTTCTATGTGACCTTAAAACGAAGTATGAGCTGAAGATGTTGCCTAGTATGGAGTAATGAAAGCTTCGCAACTAAACCATCTGTTTCAAAGAACACGACTATACCAATATCATCCAACTGAACTACAAATCTCCATTGTATATCTAGTCCCACAATAATTGGTTGTCGAATGAGAAATAGATATTTTTACGAGTTGATCACGGATTGATATCAGTTAGAGAAGCACTGAAATCTAGCAATGGAGTACTGGATAGCTGTTTACTTAGTCCTAGTTTGGGACTCTTCAGCAGTGCGCATCCACGTTGGGGTTCAAACCCAAGACCTTTCGGTTACGAGGCCAACAAGCTCGTATATCATTCACCCACTAGGACCCGATTCACTGGCCAACTCTTAAATTTTAACTTTTACCAATTCGTGATTTAGCACGACCAGCAACCAATGTCGTTGGTGGGACATCCATCCTCACACGTGACATCTTAATGGACCTCACTGGTCACGACTTCTCCCTAGAACTCCAGGAAACTCTGTCCTGTAGCAATGGTTCAATGGTTCTGTAACTGATATCAATCTATGATCAACTCGTAAAAGCAAATCTAATCCTTACAAACCGATTATTGAAAGTTATATTTATAAACTTTCAGCGAAAATGAAATTAGTAATTCCAACCATTTTGTCCGGCAGAATGGTCCAAACTTCTTCAGGAAGATCAGTCAAAATTAAAGTTACAAGGATGCAGGTATATATATTATAAAAGGGCGTGTCTTTAAAATCCTTGTCCAATTATATGTGGGTCATGAGCAGATATCAAGACAAAATAAACAAAATTGCACGAACAGTTATCAAAATCTGACCACAATCTATTTTTGTTAAACACTGTAAACAGTGTGTACTTTTACATCAGATTCTTAGTGATGATTACATTGGATTAAAGTTCAAGGACGTGCGTCGGGTGGCACAGTGGTTAGGACGCTCGCCAACCATGCACATAGGCCGGGGTTCGATTCCCGGCCACAGACGCACTCCTTTACTTCGCTAAGCCAGAAGTAATGCTGGTAAAGAGGAAAGGTTGGGCATGAGGCTGGCAACCCCATCCTGTAAAAATGAACACTGCTACAGAAACTTCAAGCCATTAGCTTGAAGCCCTATGTTCCACTGGGGAACATGAAGGGAAAAAAAGTTCAAGGTCGCGGAGAACCGAATCTGAAAAAAAAGCTATGTGTGAGATATACAATGGTGTGTACGTGTGTGCATGAGGGAATATTTGTTATGCATCAGCTAAAATCACACCTTGACTCCTACTGATTAAGCTTTTGGGATACACGCACATACTGTAGGGCTCTTTGTAAAACCGTGGTTCTATCATCAGAGTCTATCTGGTTCTCTCGAGTGTAGTAAGATTGATGATTTGTTTTCTAACTTCTCCAAATCTGTAGAGGCCTTTGGAATCACCATTAGACATTGTTTATACTCCATGGGATTCTTTTTTAACTTAATTCGGATCCTTCTGCAGTACTTCATTTTTAATAATGTAAGTGAATATTGTTACCATAACTTAGGTTCCATAGTAATAATGGTAATAATAGTTTTAATCTGAACAATGCTTATAAAATGCGCAGAATTTTCAGCGGAATTTATTCCAGGTCAATTTCTCTCTCTGCCCATGATCTTGAAGTAAAAATATTAATTGACAGTAGGTCACGTGACACAGTACTATCTGACTTGAAGTGGAAACCAATGCCTTATGGTATTTCTTCTTTGTCTCTTTCCGGAAATGTATGTATGACATTCTATTGAAAGCCAGTTAAAAAACGTGCAGAAGTACATTTAGGGACTCAAGAATATAACTGAATAATTGTAGACATCAGGCAGTCAGTTTGAGTTCCTAGGCAGAGGTGATTAATACCAGAATTCTGAGGAATACTTATCTCATGCATTGCGGTACGCTGCCACCTACGATTTCACTTTCTCTCATGTTTAGTTTAAACTTACGAATCAGCTGGTTTTAGACCTTTTAAATACTCGTGAGTGCACAAAACACCATTAAAACAAACTTCACAAGAGAAATTATTATCAATATAACTATGAAGGCTTTTTGGTAGCCCAAGTTTTAAACAAGCCGCTGTTAAGAAAGCACTTAGACAGTGTCCTTCAGATACGGCATAGTTTAAATCAACGTGCCACTACAAATGTGCCAAAGAAGTGTTCACGTAGCCCAGCTGGTGGAGGGACGACCTAGTAATCTGCAGGTAATTTGTTGGAATCCTTCCACAACCTAAACTTCCAGTTCATCTTCGGGCATCCCCTCTAACCTCTTTGTTATAATAATAATAATAATAACTTCACTTTTATTGCAGAAACAGTACTAGTGGTACAGTGTGGAATTTTCAGCACATATCTACAATATTGCATCTAATTTCATCACACATTTAAAAGGAGTATTACAAAAAAAATAAATATGAAAAAACAACAATAAAAACCAGAAAGAAACACAAAAATAACAAAAAATGAAAATACCAAGAAGTAGAAAGGAAAATAATCAACAATAATGAATAATATATCAGTATTAGGTTGTGGAAGCTATGATATGTGTATGTGTAGTGAACAGTAACAGCTATAATCATACAAGAAGTTATGAAATGTTCTTAAGAATGTTTACAGCCAAGATGATCAGTTAATTTGATTGAACTACACTAAACAATCGTAAAATAAATATTTCAGGTTTTTTTTATCGTCAGCACTAATGCGGTATTTGTAGTGGTAGTGTGAGTAATCATGGATAATACAAAAATTTTAGGATGGTGACAACGGCAAGATTGTCATTTAGTATTGTTGAACAAAAACCAACCACAAAACTAATATCACATGATGGTTAATGACAGGACAATTTTGTAATACTCATAGTGCTAATATAGTCGGAACCAGTAGATACACAAAAGAAGGAATAGAATAAAGAATAAGAAAGTAAGCCAGTGATAGTAATTTTAGGCAGCTAAGTATGTTTAAGAAGGTGTTCACTATAGAATACAAATAAGAGAGAAATAAAAGAGCCAAAATTATGTTATTAACAACAAAGCGAGTCATAGGTTTCGCGCTTAACATTGTCTCTGTCTCACTTAGAACACGGGCTGGCCAAATATGGTATCGTTGAGTTCCTATACTTGGTTGTACGAGCATATATTATTTTATACTGATTTCTGGTTCTGCCTGATGAGATACAAGGAGAGAGTTGGGAATAGAGGGGGTGCTGGGGGTCGGAGAGTATGGTTTTAGACCATTTTTCATATGTATTCAGATGCTTATCTACTAATGTAGTGACGAGCTGACTGAGTTTTACACCACTGGTCCTACTAACTACCTTCAACATCCTTCTCAGGATGGTATAGTCCTTTTTCAGTAACCCAAGAAAGACTAATGAGGAGCAGATACCTTCATTGTTGAATATGGGTGAGGATATAACCTATCGCAAATGACACTTGCGACAATTTTGTTTCACTATACTTGTATAGTTACAAGAGAAGTGGTCAGTTACGACTCTAAATTGCTCAGATAGATGATTTTGAATACTAATCTCCACCTTACTACTGGTTGCTGTATATCTTGAAGTTCTCCTAGGAAGCCGTGTCCCGTGAACTCCCATATGTCAGGACGAAGCGGACGCCTATCGATTGAATTTACCTGGAGATAACTGTAAATTTAAAACTGACAACAGTCACAATTCACAGGTCATTGAATTCCATCTTAGTGGGTCAACGGAAAACAAGCTAGCCTTGTCACCTTATGATCATTGATATGATCTTTTTTGGAGACGCGCCTAAGTGTTTATGTCACCTTTTGCATAGTTCTTTTTTAGGCCTTTATTAGTATCACTTTTATTGTGTCATTTACACAAAAATCTTCGTTTTTTTCTTCACTTCAGGGTAAACGTCATTCAATAATGCCTTTCAAGGTAAGTGCGAAAAGTCAATTACTACTTGCATTACAAATGCTGTTTGAGATTTTATACCATATACTGTTCATTTTTGTGTAAGAAAGTTGTGCCTTAGTGTCTATTGGGTTCCAAGTAGAGCGTAGAGCTTCGGCAGCACATCTCCATCGCATCCTATTTCCTGCAGTCCTCTTTTCAGCTAGCCCCATGACTCATCATAAGCTTTCAACTCTTTCTCACACTCTCTCCTCCATGTTACTGTAGGACCTCCATCTAACTCGTCGTTTTAACATTCGAGTCTCGAAAGAGAGACAGCCTGGTTCGTGGTGTTATTCAGCGGTCTCCCCAGCATGTGTCTAATCCATTTCCACCTAATTCAACATATTTGTTGAGTAATAGGTTCTTGGTTGGTTTGTTATCAGAGTTTCATGTTGTTAATTCTTCCTGGATGGCCATCAGGTCTTCAGTGTGAAGGCAGCGAAGGCAGCCCTTCATAAAATCCCGAAGCCTTTTGAAAATGCTTTCGACGACGCGTCAAGTATCTGACCCATATAGTAGAAGTTACTTAAAATCTGTGTTTAAAATCCGAATTTTGTTCCTTACGATGAAGGCAGAAGATTTTTAAACTGATTACTGAGTAATGGAGGTCTGCTGTATCTTTCCGATTCTGGTTTTGACATCGTCATCCGTGCTGACACCAGCAGTTGGAAAGACGCTTTCTAGGTAATTGAAGGAAGTGACCTCTTTCAAATGTATTCCGCTGATGGGGATTGATGTTTATTGTTCCTGGTTCGTTATCTTCATCACTTCCAACTTCCGTATGTTCACTTGAATTTCTCACTTCTCTGAATTCACTGTCATCTTGGTGGTTTTCTCCTGTAAATCGTCGAATTTATGTAACATTAGACATAAGTAAGATCTGGATTTCGCGCGTGGATGATTTATGTTTGATGTCACACAAAATCGATGACTTACAAGCGAAAACCGACCAACAAACTGGTCGAAGAAGCAGTCGGCGAAGACAGGACTCCAGGTGAACATAGGTGAGCCAGACAGAGGTTATGAAAATAATCAACCAATCAACCAACCAACAACAACAGCAGAAACATCCAGCGTCAATCACCATCAACGGGAGGGATTTGAAAGAGGTTACTTCATTCACTTCACTTATCTAGCATTGAGCATTGTCTCAAACACAGGAAGTCGGAACGGACGAGGATCTCAAATCGAGCGAGAATCACCAGGAAAGCGAGAAACACATCAACATCATCAACCAACTGAAACCGATCTAATCTGGAAATCTTCGTCACTCAGCCAGAATCAACAACAAAATTCGATCGGATTTTCAATACAAACAACGTCAAGTCAGTCAGTTCTTCTTTCAATACGGATGAGAAACGTGGCGGGCGGGTCACAAAGAATATTTCCAACCAACAGCCTGCTGCATGCAGACCTTCATCAACCAACAACTGTCTTCGCTGGATCTACACTGAAGATCAGATGGCCGGGCGGGCCGGAAAGAATCACCAACAACAAGAAACTGTGGCTGGGAAGAAAGGAAACAAGAGGCAATCGCCCACCAACAGCAAATATGCAGGAGAAAGTGGAGATGGATTGGACACTCGCTGAGTGAGGAGGCCGCTGGGTGACATCGCGCTCGCGTCAGGCCGTTTCTCGAGTGTAACCAGGCCGAAAGGGAAGCGGCGAGTGGGATGTCATTGCAAGGGTGACATGGAGGAGATCGTGTGACGAGGAGTTGAAGCAGTATGGAGTAACATGCATGTAGGTGAGAAGTAAAGCCGAAGGAAGACAGAAGTGGCAATTGGAGACGTGTAACTGAAGCCCTATGTTCCACTAGGAACCTAAGGGAGCAATAATAATAATAGACATAAACAGTTCACAAAGTTGAGATCTTCTAGATTCTTGTTATCGACCCAGTGTATTCCTTCTTCTCGCTCCAAGTACACAGTGTATCGCATAATTCAGTCTATTACAATTAGAAATATCATCATGGGTGATGTTAGGCAGCCTTGTCTAACTCCTCTATTCATTACTTGAAAGGCTTTGCTGAGTTTTCCACTGTGGACCACTGTGCTGAACTGTATCGAAAATCTTTCAGAATCTTTCATTAAAGCATCAATAACAAGTCAAGTGGTAGGAATTTACAATAGTACAGAGGCGAAATTCATAAGGTGTTTTTTTTTCATCCATGTAGTGTGCATTAAACAAAAGTTTAGTCAAAAATTTTGGAATCCTAAAGATGATGTGATGAAAGTTAAATATGCCTTTGCTACTATCCATTACCAACTTAGTTGTACTCATCAAGAATAGTTTAAAGCAGTTTTCTCATTATATTGTTCAATACTCTCCTTATCTTTCTTTATCATCTAGTAAATATATTCATTTACAAATGTAGGCGTTGTTCATTAGAGAATAATAATTGTTCTATCTGTCAAGTATTGATGAATGATTACAGTTTACTGATATCCCATAGAATGTGTTTGTTAATTCAAGTGCTTTTCTCAGTATGCAATCTATACTGCATTTACGACAAAAAACCTTTAATGTTGATCTCTGTCCATTGTGTTTTACTATTGTTGGCCTAAAAGTAAGGCAAATGATAAAACGTGGATTAAAAACACCGTTTGACATCATCGTTGCAATATATTTAATAATAATTATAATAATAGGGACGTGACTCATTGGCTTAAGTACTCTGTTTTAAGCCATTTGTGGGTCATGTATTCAAGCCTCACTCCACCTACTTTAGCTAAGGCAACTAACTAACTGGGTATTATCACCAGACCTCATGCAAAACGTGTGGCTTTTAGCCATCCGTGCACAAAGGATGGGTTTGGGGACTTTGATAGCACAAGTCTCTCCAACTGCAAGTTCTAAGAATGACAAAAGACGATTTTACTGAAATCCGTAGAATACTGGATCGCTGTTTCAACGTGCTTAGGGAATCTTCAGTGGAGTGTACCCAGAGGTTGAAATCTAGAGCCTTGTTGTTACTAGAAAACCCCTCTGAACAAAAAAGCTATTGGGTTAAAATTCAGATACCCTCGTGACGTCAATGATGCTCACTGCTGACTGAGTATTTAACCAGCATAAGACATCTGTCCAGTGCTTCTAAATTTCTATTAATACTCCAACTGATATCGATTCATGACGTCATCTCCAAGGAAACCAATTGAAGTCCCTATGGAACCATAAAATCTGAATAAAAATAAAACTTTATTAATAATAAACATTCTTGCTTTATTTATATTTATGCTTAAAGAGCTTTGGTCGACCAATGAATAGTCTTCTTGAGACACAAACCAATGTGACGAATAGTCTGTTACCCCCGTCTGAGGAAACCAGTAAACGAGGAAGTTCTGGTAGTCTAGGAGAAGGTGACACGGTAAGTAGCAGTAGTACTTGTGTGGAAACTTTATTCGACTGATTCATTTTTATTTTTATGGTTTTTTTCGATGACAAGTAGAACTGAATACATTGATGAATATCTCTAAAGCATTTAAGGTTATTATAATCTTATAATTATTTATATTTTGTCACCTAAAACCCTCTTCTTTCCATCTGTAGACTATATTGTCGATATAAATATCAGACAAGTGATCCTTTTTGAAAAAGCTTTGAATTTTCTGTTAATGGACAATATTTTAGTGTAGTATCACGTTCCTGTTGACATATCGGTTCCTAGAAGGAATATTTCAACAACTCCTTCCTTGAGATGTCACATGGTTGGCGATAACTAGCAAATGAATCCCCAGTGTGCATTTCATTCTATTCGGAACTTGTCAGTTGACTGTAGGCGACCCCCCTCCCCTCCAGCCACCTCAAATGATTGGTGGTATTCGCACTCAGACTCCTAGCCGGAATCTATTCTCTCTAATGGCAAAAAGGTTATCTACTAGGAGATTAACTTCATTAGTGGTACGCTGAAACAATTTAATTTCCAGAATGGATCAATTTTGGTTTATTTAGGTAGAAGAGTGAACTAAAAAAAAAGAAGAGAGACAATCTGTCTGCTGCTTATAGCCTTTCTGACTGGATATCCTGTCTGCAGTATGGAATGAAAGTAACTGAGATTCTGAAAGCAGTCTGCAGACTGTCGGAAATGGCTTTGCCATTCACTTTCGTCAAGTCTGAGAACACTATATAAAAGCACTGACTGACTTCAAATTTAAGTTGACGATTCGAATCTTTTTGCTAGCCCTGAGCGTAATTGAATTCTGCATTGCATTTTTCTTCTTTGACAGATTCTAGAACATAGACATTCCTACCGGTGTCCAACAATCATTATATTTCTTGATCTGAAAGCGGGACTCCATCCTGTCCATCGAGAGGTACTCTGGCGATGATGCTTGGCTGTAAAGGGAATGTTGAGAAAATGCATTGCACTGATTAAGGCACTCGACTTGAACTCAAGCAGCCAGCTGAGGGCTTACGGCGAGTTGTCATCTGAAATGGTGACAATTAGTGGTGTCCGTCAAGGATCCCCATCATCCCCATTTCTATTCAATTTCATCATAGATGTACTAATGGACTTAACCCTAACTCACTTCAGAGACTCAGGGATTGACTTGCTACCAGGGTATGAATAATCTCGTTGACTCGGAATATGCAGACGATATAGTCCTTCTAGGCGAGAACACTGACAAAATCCAGCAGAGTCTTCTAAACACGTTGAGCTGCAATCTACGAATGTTTGGCATGCGACTCGCTCTCACCAAATGTAAGATGATGTTATAGGACTGGACCACACTGACTTCTAGTTTAGAAATAGGAAGTGAAGTGGTAGAGCACGTTGACCGCTTCACTTATTTGGGAAGTACCATCAGCCAACGCCAATGGGTTGATCTCTGACGAAATCTCAGTACGGATACAGTGGGCTAGTTTCGCATATGCCAGTTTATGCCGTCTTTGGCGTAGACGTGATATCTGGCTATCGACCAAAGGGTGAGTGTACTGCTCAGCAGTCAGCTCCATCCTCCTTTATGGCCAGCTGTGATACCTGGTCATTGAGAGTGGAAGACATGAAAAGATTAGCTAGCTGTCTTCGATCATATGTGCCTGCATTCTATTTCCCGTGTGAAGTGGTAGTTAATAACAATATTAGTGTTCTTTAAATAATATCCATTTTTAAAGTATGATCAATGCAATTACAGTTCACTAAACAAAATAAAATTATAATAGTAATAAAGATATAATAGCGAATAGAATATCAACTAAAATTAGGAAATTTCCACGAAAATTGAGGATCATTCAAACCTGGATGGCCAAGGACAGTGTCTGAACTAACTTCTTTTGGACGCACAAATTAGGCTTCTTAATGTGGATCCCAACAGCTAGCCTCAGCAATATTTTAGTAATCGAACTCTAAAGGCGAAGTTGAGATTTGTTGGTATCCGGTAAATAACTCTAAAAGCCTGGTTAACATCAATCTTGTGTTCTGTATCCACAAGATGAGACAGAATAGCACTACGGGTGGATTTTGTTTGGCCTTTGCTTAACCAACAAGGCACGTTGATGTTCGGAAGTTCGGCGAGAAACAGGCCTATTTGTGCGGCCTATGTAACTGGCTCATTGCACAGGAGCAGTTAAATTGGTAGATACACATGGATGAGGCGAAATTAGACAGTTTGTCTTTTACTCCCGAACGCAGAAGAGGAGTGGTCTTAAAGATACAACGTAATTTTAATAATAATAATAATAATGATTTACTTTACTCCAAAATCAGGACTTGTGATACAGAATGGAATTTTCAGCATTAATCACAATATTGCATCTAATTTCCTCAAATTATAAATAAAAATTAATCACACAGAAAATTTTCCGCATTTACAATAGAGGTTGTGTCAAAAACGTGCAGCATATAAAATGGAAATAATAATGATAACAGCTAGAGTAATAATAATAATACAAGTGAAAATTACTGTGGGCTTGTTCCACACAGTATTGTCAATGCGGTATAGAAATCCTGGCATATTTAAAAATATTGAATATAATCTTCTCGTTACATGATATGGTGAGGGGAAAAACAAAGATTACAGCAGTCATAGAGATGAGTTGGTGTTTGCAATTATGAGAGTAGAACAAACAAAGAAGTAACAGGACCATAAATATAATAGAAGTAATAAAAGTAAAACTTGAAGGTATATAAGGATGGATGGATGGAGGAAATTGTTTATTTACTAGATGAAAAAAGGTTAGTTAATTCTTGCCTGACACTATTTTCATCACATAAAATACGTGCCAAGTATGGTATCATAGAATTTTTATACTTAGACGTGCGAGCATACAGTTTTCTGAAGTTACTCCTTGTTCTACCTGAGGAGATGCAAGGTGAAAGCTGAGGGTGCTGTGGTGGATGCTCCAAGTCAGACAAAATCCCTTTAGCAAATTTATTGCACGAAGTTAAGTGCCTATCGACAACGACGTTAACTATGTGGTCCACTGGGACACCACTCACCCTACTGACAGTCTTCAGTATTCTACGAATTGTGACATAGTCCTTTTTAAGCAAACCAGGAAAGAATAAGGGTGAACAGCAAAGAAGAATAGGTAGGATGCAAGAGTTTATGAACTGTAAGAGGAGGGGTTGAGTTATACCCGAGTGTCTTAACTTCTTAATGTAAAATGTCAGGAGGAATATTTTACTGGAGATTGCTAAGACATGGGAAGACCAGGAGAGATCAGAAGAGAGAATGAGTCCAAGATACTTAATTTCTGATTTGATTCCTATATCATTGTCGTCAATTTTACAACTGTCATGAGAATCGATGACTTCTTTTAACTGTCGTTTACATCTTAAGCTGAAATCAACAGTTTGACACTTAGAAGGATTCAGTTTAAGACCGTTAGACTCAGACCATTTGCTGACTCCTGATAGAAAGCTTTTTATTTTAGTACAATCTAGCTGGGAGTTAACAGCCATTGAAACCGTTAAATCATCAGCGTACTTCACAAAGTTTATTTCATCAGAGTGAGGCAAGTGATGTAAGAAGAAAGAAAAAAGAAAAGGATAAAGGACAGTGCCTTGAGGGACACCAGCTTCAGTAGGCAATGAAGTGGAAGACTTCCCCTTTTTCTGAGAAATAGGAATGTAACCAGTTAACAGCCCAACATTCTGTTTGACTAGTGGCAAGTTTATTTAATAAGATGTCCCTAGGGACCGAGTCGAAAGCAGATGTATAGTCTAGGAAGGCACAACGAACAAATTTAGCCCCCTTGTCTAGACTGGAAGCAATGTTATGATATAAGACGGCAGCTGCATCTAAAGTGCTTCTACTGTGCTTATAGGCAAATTGTTTAGGGTCATTAAAGGATTTAAGCGAAGGTACAAGACTAAGTAAAAGTAATTTCTCCATATTTTTCAAAAGACGGGTCTAAATTTGACATATGCTCCAGTAGATGATTTAGGTATGGGTACAACTTTAATGTCCTTCCAAACAGCAGGCACAATATTATCGGAAAAAGATTTGTTTAAAAGATCAGTGAGAGGGTGACACAGAATATCCAAACATTTTTTAAAAATAATACTAGGTTCATAATCTGGACAGCACAGCAGGGAATGCTCGTTTTACCGCCTCATTTCTAATGCGCTGTTTATTGAAGTGATTTCAAAAACCACTCCCACTATGGAAATATTCCTAGTTTTATTTTTTTTTATCGTAAATCTTTGTTACTATTATACAATTGGTGGATGGTGGCTAGCAGTGGAATCCAGGATGCGCATTTCGTCCTAATTGGGACTCGTCAGCTGGATGTACCTGCATTTCTCAGTGAGTGATGATGTTCCCACTGAGGCCCGAACCCAGTACCCATAGTTTCAAACGCCAAAGCGTTATCCACTAGACCACTTGGGCCACGAGAGCCAGCTCTTGTGCAACGGGTCATATTAATTATTGAATTGAATTTTTGATCTTCCCGTCGATTGATTGGACCGAAGTGCTCGGTCTCAGGTTGACATGTCGGCTTCTTGTGCAGATGCTTCGACGATGTCTGGGCATTTAATTAGTATACAATTGGTTGATGGTGGCTAGCAGTGTTACTATTGATTACAAAAATACATATATGCATAAGATGCTCACCTCACACTGTCTATCTCCTTATCTCTCTCTTTCTTGTATGTTCTACACTTTTAGCATCATAGTCTATTAGACTCCATGAAAAATGTTATACAACGAGTGGGCAGTTCTTCAAGACGTCAATCAGAAATATCTCACAGTATAGATGCTGAAAAATCCTCGAATGATGTCTACCAATATTCAACGGAATCATCTCATATTAATAATAAATCATCATCACTAGTACCTAATCATCAGCATCAACATTTAAGTGGTGTTAACGAGAAACCAAAACTCCTCAGTGCACCGCATACACCTACCGTAGATCATTTAACGCCAATAACACGACGTATTGTATTGCCAACAATAAATCAAGGCAGTCATGAAGATGATTGGGATGTTGAAATGGTGGATGGTTTTGGGGAAGGCAAGAAATTAATGCAAGGAGATGTACGTAAATCTGATTAATTAGTTTGTCTTTGTTTGTCTGCTGTTGTTTGTTTGTTGCTTTTTTTGCATTGAAATATATACTACTCGCGTTTACTACTTAAATTGTACAACGGAAAAAAATATATAATCACATCTAGTTTAATCACGTATCGACTTCAGTTAAAAAAATCATTGAAAGCTGAGGAGTAGTAGACAGCTGTTTCATCCTTGTTTGGAAATGTTTTGCAGTGCATACACATGATCCCATGGGGGATCGATAGTTCTTTAACTAAAGTGATCAAGATGAAGTTTCTTGAAGTTCTAATACAACGTCGTGGCTAACGATTTCCACCAAGTTAGGTGATTTTGGGTTTGCCCCATATTTTGGCAGAGATTAGAATTGGTGGTGATCGATTGAACCGCGTGCCAATGGCTCACTGGTATGCTAACTTATTTTTTTAACATGTAGGCTCTGGGTCCGATCCCTTGTAAGGTTATGGGTGCGAAATGTTGAAGAGTGCGCACCAGAAATAAGACAGCTATCCGGCACTCTTTGATTTTTCATGGTTCTTAAGATGACGTAATTTCGTGATCAGAGACCACTTTAAGTCAATCGAAGCTCTTCAAAGCAACAGGTCGGAACGACATATGAAGTAAGCATATTTTCATGTTTCTCTTTCTATGCATTGTGACTAATGCAAGCTTATGTTGAAAAAAATTCAGCACTGCTTGTCTCAAAAAATATATGGAAGATTTAATCATGAGCTGACATCAGTTAGAGAACCACTGGAAAACCTGGGAGTACTGGACAGCTGTTTCGTCCTAGTTTGGGATTCCTCAGCAGTACGCACCCACCGGTGTTCGACCCAGGACCTTCTGGTTACAAGGCGAGCTCGTAAACCATTGAGCCAAGTGGTATCCCAGTGGCTCAATGGTTTACGAGCTCGCCTTGTAACCAGAAGGTCCTGGGTCGAACACCGGTGGGTGCGTACTGCTGAGGAATCCCAAACTAGGACGAAACAGCTGTCCAGTACTCCCAGGTTTTCCAGTGGTTCTCTAACTGATGTCAGCTCATGATTAAATCTTCCATACAATCAAACCAAATCCCTACAAAACCAATAATTGTAAATAAATATAGACGGTTAACTAGTCTAAGGTAGAAATTGGCACATAAGTATTATAGAATAACCTGTCATCCTTTGCAACAGCACTGAAATAAAGCCATCTAAAAAGCCTGAATAGTTTTACCTAACGACGAACAAACCAATATTGTTCAGGAACTGAGCTGCTTACCAAGCAATGCACTGGAAAAGGAGTTCAAAGATAATCGATCGAAAATCCCAATGTGACCCAGATTTTTATTCAACTTCCCATCACCCCCTCTATATGACACTGTCAGTACATCATCTCAAGAATATCTCAGGTAGTCTCATCATCATTTAAGCAATGCATATGTTTTGGATTCTAAGGTAATCTCCACTCTTGTCCATACCATTCATCGAATTCACTATCCTCAGATTACGAGGCAAACAACTTAAAGCTGTGCCAAATGAGTTAGACTATAATGGTTGGTGAATTCTTAGTAATTTCAGCAGACAATACATATTTGATTGGACACTAGTAACTAGTGTGACGTGTCTAGTCCTCCTTTCTTTGGTGTAGACTGAATTCTGTCAGTCAGGTTTGCAATGTGGCCACCAATCCAGATAGCTCGGCATCACGGTGCAGATTGATTTGATGATATTGGATAGTTGGAGGCAATCGGCCATAGGAAGTCTTGCTTGACCTAGATTTCGTGCTAGTTGGGACTCACCAGTCAGCAAGGCGTATCTGCAACTACCTTGAAGGAACTCATGTACCTTTTGAGATTCAAACCCGCGTTACCCAGTGCTGCAGTCAGAGACATCACCACTGAGCTATTCGGGCTCACGATTGACCTCTGTAAGATGATTGTAGGACTGTAGTGGGTAGTTTTACTGGACACTAGTAACGAGTAATTAATCAAACGAAAGATGTCTTTTAGAAACAAACAATATTTGAGACGAGCGAAAGAGTGGTGGAGAGAAACTCTGACACCAAGTTAGGTAATATACTTGATTCATCTGGTACAGCAGTATCGCGGATAATACAAGAATCATGGGACTGAATCAATTCATGCAAATCTTGTTGACGCCTAGAACTACAACTAACATTCCGATATTTAAAAGTGCGCCAACTAAAAAGTTGTCATTATTATTTTTTTATTATTCCCTTGGGTTCCGAGCGGAACATACGGCTTCAACAACACATCGCCACTTTGTTCTATTTTCCGCCGTCCTCTACGGCTGGGTTCACGATTGCTCATAATCTCTGATCTCCTCCTCGTGTGATCTCCTCCATATCACCCTCAATGTGACGTTCCACTCGAGAAATGGCCTGACGCGAGCGCGATGTCACCATGCGGCCTCCTCACTCAGCGAGTGTCCAATCCATCTCCACTTTCTCCTTCATATTTATTGAACGGCGATTGCCTCTTGTTTCCTTTCTTCCCAGCCACAGTTTCTTGTTGTTGGTGATTCTTTCCGGCCCGCCCGTCCATCTGGTCTTCAGTAGAGAGCCAGCGAAGACAGTTGTTGGTTGATGAAGGTCTGCATGCAACAGGCTGTTGGTTGGAAATATTCTTTGTGACCAGCGCGCCACGTTTCTCATCCGTTCCGTATAGAAGAATTGACTGACTTGACGTTGTTTGTATTGAAAATCCAACCGAATTTTGTTGTGGATACTGACTGAGTGACGAAGATTTTTGCGGATTGGTTTCAGTTGGTTGATGATGTGTTTCTCGCCTTCCCGGTGGTTCTCACTCGATTTGACATCCTCGTCCGTTCCGACTTCCTGTAGTTGAGACAATGCTCAATGCTAGATAAGTGAGGTGAATGAAGTAACCTCTTTCAAATCCCTCCCGTTGATGGTGCTTGACGCTGGATTTTTCTGCTGTTGTTGTTGTTGGTTGGTTGGTTGATTGGTTGATTATTTTCATAACCTCCGTTTTGTCTATGTTCACCTTAGCTATCTGAATTTTCTCCCACATACTTGTTGAACAATCGGCTTTTGGTTAAAATAGAAATGTTATCATATCTTAAAACTAAATTTTATGATAATCCAAGTGAGACTGTCGCAGGCAATTCCAACGTTTAGTTTTTAGCCAACAGGTGAGATTTAAAACACCAAGATGAGCTCATCTAAATGACTAGACTTCAATAAATTACCTTTATGCTAGAAATGTGACTGATCAACTAAAGCGCTGATCAAAATTCAACCAATCAGCGCAGAGTTCGAATCTCGCACAGCTTACTTCAGCCAGTCTGGTCAGCTCTCATAAATTTAAGCATATGGCGCTTAAGCTGATTTATATATATATATATATATATAACACACAAAAGCACACGCCCCATTCTGAATACACTCTGTATAACTCATCATCTTTATGACAGAATGATAATAATAATCTTAAGTAATTCCACGTGATCGATTTCGTTCCCCTTATCTCAGCCTGATTCACTTAGTTTCCTCGCTCTTTATAGTAATCAGTAGTTACTTGTCTTCTTCTTATTCTTCTTCTGTCTGTGAATTTGTGTCTAACAAACAAACAAACAAACAAACAAACTGGAATGTGATTTATTTCATTCCAATATTGAATAATGAATAAAAATGATATTCTCTCCATTACTGAATGAATGAATGAATGTGTTCATCATAAGTTATCGTGTTCAATGTTCAAGTAGAAAGAACAATTAAAACAAAACACAACAAAAAAAGCAATCACGCATTATTATTGTAATTCGAATGAATAATGTTATTGATTTAAACGATGTATACCTACCTTATAAACGCTATTATTATTACTCCTTACAGTGTAGATAGTATATTTATTATTATTATTATCACTATTATTACTGTTTTATTATAGAACAAGACATCAGAGAAATTCTCTGCCTATCCTGACAATCATTATTCTATTGATGGACGACTGGTAAATAATAACAATCATATTGATAATCATAATAATAACAATAATAATAATAATAATAATACCAGTGGCTATTCAGTTGACAGTAAACGACAAGCCAAACAACAATACTTCCTGCGATTGAAAAGCGATGATATTAGTGTGCCAGTTAAACGAGACGACGTCAGTCATAATAACAATAATAATTATGATGGTGGCTTTAATAAACGGTAAGTATAATTAATATCCCTGAGTATTATGATGATGTTTATTATTATTATTATTATTTTACGTATTTTTATCATAACTGTCTTTCGATGATAAGCACAACCAAATATTTATTAAATAATCTTAATTTTTAAGTATTACTTCCCACGGGCTGGAGGTTATTGATCACAAGCTAAATCACGAACTGAAACATTAGTTAGAGAACTACTAAAATCCACTAGACTATTAGGGAGCTGTTTTACCCTAGTTCTGGACACTTCAGCAGTAAACATCAACCAGCCTACTATCGGGAATCGAACTCATGGTCCTTAGGCTAAGAAGGCAAGCCTGCCACTATGAAGGAATTCAATGTCCCACAACTTATATATAACTTCCGCCAAAAGGCGATGTATATAGCACCACATCCAGTTAATGTTGTCGGTGAGTATTTTTCCACATGCTCGACTTCGTCAAACTTCCGTGGTTTGGCTGCAGGAAGTCTAACACTTGGCTAGTCGCTATTAAGCAGAAGACTAGTCTCCTGCTATTAGTTGTTATGCGTTAGTTGTTCTGCAATAGAAAACTTGCCGAAAGTTTTTCGGGATTTCATCATGAACTGACATCGGTTAGAGGAACATTGAAAGACCTGAGAGTAATGGAAAGCTGTTGCGTACTAGTTTGAAACTGTTCATAAGTATGCACCCACGGCCGAAGTTCGAACCCACGACCTTCTGGTTACAAGGCAAGCTTGTAATAATAATAATAATAATAGCTTTATCCCAAAACAGTTCTTGAGATAAAGAATGGAATTCTCAGCATTTTACTACAGTGTTGCATCCAGTTGGTAAATTACCAATAAATAAAATTCTACATAGATTAATGCTAATCTCAGTTTGTTTTGACAACAACATATTAGCATGCCGGTAGCAAAGCCAAAATTAAATACAGTGTTTGAACGTGCTAGAAAAGAAGGTGCTAGCATATTTACTGGTATAAGTGGAGGAGAGAAACAAAGCAGTACATAACAGAAAAAAGAGAGAGAGAGAAAAGGAAAAGGAAGGAAGAAAAACATTGTACCTATAAATGATGATATGAGTTGGAAAGACGAGATCCAGTTGTTGTTCTACTGACTATTTAATAAGTTACAGGTATCATGCCTAATGGTTCCTTTATCGCACAGAACACGAACTAAGTAAGATATGGTTGGGCTTTTGTACATACTAGTGTGAGCATATAGTTTTCTATATAGGCACCTGGTCGTTCCTGATGAGATACAATGGGAGAGTTGTGAATGAAGAGGGTGGTGTTGTGAGTTAGATAGAATGGATTTAACCCATTTTTCAAGTGAGTTCAAGTGCGTGTCAACCAGAATATTAACAAGCTGGTTAAGTGGCACATTGCTTAGCCTGCTGACAACCTTTCACATCCTGCATAACAAGGTATAGTCTTTCTTCAGTAGCTCTGGAAAAACCATTTTGGCCACTAGGACTCGACTCAATGGTCAGTCCATGAATTCCAACTTTTGCCAATTCACGATATAAGGCGACCACCAGCCAATTTCATACCTGGCGACTATTTGTCCTCACACCTAGACGGCCTTTCATCACTGGTCACCAACCCGGGTAACTACCTATCTGAACAGGGCCCGCCACTAGTGAGCTTCTAATAGATATTCAATCGTTGAAAACCTGGCAGTACTAGACTAATGAAAAGTCCAGTCCAAACTTGGAAATAACAACTGTCCAGTAATCCCAGTTAGTTTTCTAATGGTCCTCTAACCGATCTCAGTTCATGATGAAATCCTGTAACCAATCAAATCCCTGAAAACCAAAGCTAGATTATGTAAATTTACGAAAAAAGAATAAAATGTGCAATTTAATAGTGTTCTCTGAGCTGATTGGTTTAGTTGCGAAGCTTTCCTCGTCTTTCTGGACGACATCTTCAGCGCAGTATTTAGCATAAAGTCAAATGATTTAAAATCTCCACCTGAGTTACAAATCTTTTCTATTTTTTCAAGAATAAAGTGTTTCAAATTTATTTCAGTTAACGGATTTTTCTTTCTTTACTTTGATATGTGTACAACTAAGTAAGTCATAATATGCCTTTATTCTCACCTATTTTTCAAAATTCTCCATGTTCAGATTTTTATCTCCATCAAACCATCCAATGATAAGATCTGGACTGCATGAGATACCAAACCACCGGTTGAATTCATATCCACAAACACCACTACCCGTTAACACAACATCATCATTATATCGATTGAACTCGCCTCGATATGCCACATCAAAATCTATCGATGCTTTAACAGCTGATGTTGAACAAGTGAATAAAATACCAAATAACCTCCTCAGGAATGTGACTGTTGTTCATGACAATGATGATAAAGGCGACTACGACAGTCATAATTATCGTACAACTGATAGAAATTCTTCAAATGATGATGACGGTGCAGAAGAGATGGAAGTGAAAGGAGAAGAAGGCGAAGAAGACGAAGAGGCGTTGTGTTTAATTCAAAGAGGAGAAACGCCTAGTCCAGCTCCATCGATTGGCGCGGCTATCCTTAGACCAAATTACTATCATTTATCAGATGATAATAAATCCATAAAACGTAGAAAAGTCATCAATCCTTCTGATTTCACTGTCTATACCAGTATACCAAGAGATTTATTAATGAATAAATTAGGGGATAATGCTGCTGGGAATAATAATGCCGGTTATTCAAGTGGGCAAATCAATAAGAATTTGGAAGAGCTGATTGATCTACCAAAGGTATGCATAAATACAAAAGCTTATTTTCATGTTGATTTTATTTGTTGAAAAAGGGTTTTTGGAAATTCCTGCTGACCGATGTTTTTTTTTTAATTAGACAAAAACATTGAGCGCAATGAGCAGTATTCATAATATTTATTACCTTGGGTTCCAAATGAAACGGGATATCTCCATTTCAAACTGTTCTGTGCAGCCGTTCTTTCTTTCTTTCTTTCTTAACTGAAACCACAATTGCTCATAAGCTTCCACTTTTGCCTTTCATGATCCTTTCCATGTCACTATCGGACCTAATGTCACCCAGGTTCCACTAGAGGCGCTTTCACATGATGTCATTTAATGAACTCAATCTTTGCCAGAATTCCTCATTGCTTATCGTTTCTCCTCATTATTGAGTGAAGGTAGCGCGGTTGACGAAGGTTTGCAGTAGTCTGTTGGAATTTTTTTTTTGTTGATGCGGCATTTCTCTGAACCGATTGGAAGCAGTAATTTGACATTAGTATTGAAGATCCTGATCTTGTACCTTATGCTGGCTGCAACAGATCTTTATACACTGAATTCAGATCAATGAATGTCTTTTTTGCTACTCCTATCCTGTCTGACTTTGACATCCTAATATGTGCTTACTGTGGCTGGCTGACTGGCTGGCTGGCTGGCTGACTGGCTGACTGACTGACTGACTGACTGACTGAATGACTGGCTGACTGGCTGACTGGCTGACTGACTGACTGACTGGCTGGCTGGCTGGCTGGCTGACTGACTGACTGACTGACTGACTGACTGAATGACTGGCTGACTGGCTGACTGACTGACTGACTGACTGGCTGGCTGGCTGGCTGGCTGACTGACTGACTGACTGACTGACTGACTGACTGGCTGGCTGGCTGGCTGACTGACTGACTGACTGACTGACTGACTGACTGACTGACTGACTGACTGACTGACTGACTGACTGACTGGCTGGCTGGCTGGCTGGCTGGCTGGCTGGCTGGCTGGCTGGCTGGCTGGCTGGCTGGCTGGCTGGCTGGCTGGCTGGCTGGCTGGCTGGCTGGCTGGCTGGCTGGCTGGCTGGCTGGCTGGCTGGCTGGCTGGCTGGCTGGCTGGCTGGCTGGCTGGCTGGCTGGCTGGCTGGCTGGCTGGCTGGTTTCAGAATGAAACGAACTTTCCACAGATTTGCATCAGTTCAACTTGTCACTCTTCCTTCATGTAGTAAAAACCCAAAAACCAAGAGAAGGGAGTGAAAAGAGATTCAACAGAAGTGTGACGGGAAAAGAATAGTAATGCGGAAAAACCATAAAGCTTTATTGGTTATCACGAACCACAAAGAGTGAATGAATCTGCGCCATTGTGGACGATTTTCAGTTATATCACAAATTGTCTCCAGCCTTCATTGGTTCTTACCAACCCTAGAACCTTAACCAAAGATTCTACACCTTCCCACATGGCTCGATCTTTTGGTTTGACGGTCACTGGCTGTTTTCCAACATTATCCTTATGTCAGCTAACACTGCCCTCGCGAGGCTGTTTATGGGTAACACGTGTCTTAACTATCTCAATCGATATAGTTTCACAATTTTATCGACAGATCTTCCCCCTCCCTCCACCTAATACTCGACGCCTAACCTCGATATTGCTCACCCTATTATACCACCTGATATAGGAGATAGAACTCAGACACTCATGACCAAAGATAGCTAGCGTTTCCGTGTCTGCCACTTTCAGTGACCATATGTCATGGCCATTAGATGAGGATGAAGCCAACTTCATCAGCATTACATACGTTCTTTGATCGACAGGTGGATAACACGTCTACGCCAGAAATACCGTAAACTGGCATATATACAAAACTAGTCTTCTATATTCGTGCTAGCCAGCGATCAATCCACTGGCGTTGGCTGATGCAACTTCTCAACTAAGTGAAGTGCTCAGCACACTCCAATGTTTTCCAGCCCTGTAGCATCATCTTAAATTTGACAGGAGAGAGTTGTATGCCAAAACATTCAAAGACTGCTGCTCCTCAAGGTGTTCAGAGCCTTCTGTAGCTGAAACAATACCACTTAGATAAGTGAAAGAAGTGACTTTCTTCAGATTTCACTCGTTAATAGTGATTATCAACCGAGAACAGTATATGAAAAATATTATATTCACAAAAACCGAATCTTGAAACATCTCCCTTATTCCTCCCCTACACTATTTTTTTTGTACCATAAACTGTTGAAGAGATATTAAGAGAATGCAATGAATCCATCATATTTATCGAAAAATTATTTATTTTCGCTTCAGTGAAACTTATAATTATAAAATTTTGCTTTTAAATCTGTTCTTATTGTCGCACTAATAACTACTATTTAACCCAAATCCACTTCTTGAATCATCTAATGCCTGTCGTGGTTTTAAGTGTGTTTTGCCTAATTATTATTATTATTATCATTATTATTGTATCCTTTAGTTCCTAGAGGAACATAGGGCTTCAGCTGCGCACCTCCATCGCCTTCTGTTTTCTGACAACTTTTTCACCCCGCTCCAGGTCTGTCCACATGCTTTCATCTCCTCCTCGCATGACCTCCTCCAAGTCACCCTTGCACTGACGACCAACTCGCCGCCTCCCTTTCGGGTTCCACTCGAGCGATGGCTTGTCTAGTGATGTCACTTGATGGTTTCCTCAGCGTATGGCCAATCCATCTCCATTTCTTCCTGCCTATTTGTGTTTTGCTTAAAATACTCATAAATTCTAGTAGATTATGGCGTGCGCAGAAAAGATGTTGGACGCAAGGAGACAGGCATTTCATTTGATTACTAAAATAGGACTATTCCCCCACAATACCTTGTGCTTCAATTGAATCATCAAAATATCAAAAAACGAAGTTGGCTAGCCGCTTTTCCAGCAAAACTACGATTCACTGATGCTTCGTCGTTTCACATACAACATTTTCTGTTTCTCCTCTTGAGATTTTCAGATTCACAGTGAAACTGTGACCCGATTTCTTTCATTCACCTTGTAAATTATGTTCATCAGTTTGTCGAATTCAGTGATTTCCTTACTGTTGTGCTCAGATGTTCTACTATACAACACACTATGCCTCATAGTATACACATCAATCTTAAAATTCTAACTTAAACAATTTCAAGATATTAACTTTGTTAATAAATTTTAGATTATACGCTTTGGTAAGGACTTACAAGCGAAAACCGACCAACAAACTGGTAGAAGAAGCAGTCGGCGAAGACAGGACTTCAGGTGAACACAAGTGAACCAGACAGAGGTTATGAAAATAACCAATCAACCAACCATCAACAACAACAACAGCAGAAACATCCAGCGTCAATCACCATCAACGGGAGGGATTTGAAAGAGGTTACTTCATTCACCTCACTTATCTAGCTAAGGAGCATTGTCTCAACTACAGGAAGTCGGAACGGACGAGGATCTCAAATCGGGCGAGAACCGGGAAGGCGAGAAACACATCAACATCATCAACCAACTGAAACCAATCCGCAAAACTCTTCGTCACTCAGTATCAACAACAAAATTCGATCAAATTTTCAATACAAGCAACGTCAAGTAAGTCAATTCTTCTATACGGAACGGATGAGAAACGTGGCGGGCGGGTCACAAAGAATATTTCCAACCAACAGCCTGTTGCATGCAGACCTTCATCAACCAACAACTGTCTTCGCTGGATCTATACTGGAGATCAGATGGCCGGGCGGGCCGGAGAGAATCACCAACAACAAGAAGCTATGGCTGGGAACAAACAAACAAAACAAGAACCGATCGCCAACCAATAAATATGAAGGAGAAAGTGGAGATGGATTGAACACTCACTCGCTGAGGGGGCCGCCACTGGGTGATATCGCGCTCGCGTCAGGCCATTTCTCGAGTGGAACTCGAAAGAGAAGCGGCGAGTGGGACGTCACATTGAGGGTGACATGGAGGAGATGGTGTGAAGAGAGAGGAGTTGATACAGTATGGACTAAGATGAATGGATGCAGGTGAAAAGTAGAAGACAGCAGAAGACAGAAGTGGCAAGTGGAGACGTTCAGTTGAAGCCCTATGTTCCACTAGGAACCCAAGGGAACAATAATAATAATGAGGATTTGGAATAATTTCAGCATGGATTTCGTCACGAACCAACATCACTTAGGGATATCATGATCATAGTATTCGTCTCCAGCTCATCGATGACTACCGGGTGGATATCATGAGGCTGTACTGAGACGTCGTAAACAATGGGATCCACAGCGTCAAAGTGGAGTAGATACCAAGGGGGGGGAATAGTTTGAGGATAACGCATTATCGTGATTTGAGCAATTCAGAATCCAGAAGTCATTGAAAGTAGTTGAAATGTCAACCGACTTAATCTCATAACCTGAAGTTGTCGGGTCCGATTCCTAGCGGGACACTGGATTTGCACGAAGAAGAGCCCAAGACTGAGGCGAAACAACTGCCTAGTGCACCCCGGTCTCGCATGATTCTCCTAACTAATGCTGGTTTATGACGAAATCCACAGTGTTATTAATTATCACCCGTAAATTCATGGACAACCAAACTGTCTTCTAACATAATTTTCTGCATACTTGTCGTTTGAACTCCTGTTTTATTGATGTATATATATACTTTTAATTGCTTTCAATTTGTCTCTCCGTCTCTCTTTAAGCCTGTTTGGATGGCAGGTTTACCAGATTCACGACCTACACCAGAAACTTCTCAACAGTCTCTACGCCTTAGACACTACAAACGTCAACTTCCACAATTACCTTCAGGTGTTAAGAAAAAAGAGAATACCTATGGTTCAAGTACAAGTCAGTTATCTTCTCCAGTATTAGTTGACATTCAGGAACATGCAAGAATGAATTATTTCAAGGTAATTATTATTGAGATTATTAGAAAAGTTTCCTTTTCATTAAATCATATTATATATATATATATATATATATATATATATATATATATATATTTCAACCATCAGAAATTGACATTATATTTATTTATTTTATTCCTTAAAGTTCCCAATGGAACATAGGACTCTAAGCTACAGCTTTGAAGTTTCCGTAGCAGTGGTGTTTATTTTTACGGGATAGAATTGCTAGCCTCATTCCCAACCTACCTTCTTTGTCAATTCTATCACTAGCTTATTGCGGTAAAGGAGTGTGTCGGTGGCCGAGGAACGATCCCCGAAGCACATGCATCGTTGGCGAGCATTCTACCGGTGTGTCACCGGCGCACAAATTGACATATATATATAAATATTTATTTTAATGTTTTACTGAATACATCTTCTGACGTGTTGGAACCAGAGACCAATATTTAGAAATTGTCAGCTTCCTATAAACTTCTTAGACTTAACTTCCTGTGTAACTCAATTCAACCGTCAAAACCTGCTTCTGATTCCCTTGTATCTCTTTTCCAAACCTATCTTATATCAACTAACACTGTGTACGCTGACTTCCTTTAACCATCTCAGTCGACACAGTTTCAAATTCTCATCTATTGACTACCCCACCCACCCCATCCTTACTTAGTAAGTTATCCATGCCTTAGTTCAAATGAGAAAAAGAAGGCAGCCGGCCTCTACATAACTTCCACTTTTTTAATGACCAAGTCATGCCTGTGGAATACACTTTAAACTTCTTCATCTTATCTTCAACAGAACTTATTCAATCGATTATATTGACATCATATAAAGGAAACAACTGAGTCCAAATGGACTGCTTTATGTGTTTTGTCGTAGTTTAAAACAACTGTATAGCGTTATGCAACTATAACTTTGAGATGATTCTAATCTGGCATCGGTTGATGAAAAGAAGTCATTATTAACGACTGGGTGTGTAACGACAGAAGACAAGGGCCAGGCAACAAATCGTTTATTTAGGAAACTAAACCATATTTAAAAGTTTTCATGTACATTATTATAGATTATTGTAAGCAAATAAACACAGTCTTCTGATTGGTGGTGGTTTCTCGCTGAACGTTAATCTTTCATCTCTTTATGGCCGTTTCTTAAAGTTCAGATTATCTATCTGCAAGCTGTATCCGCCTACTAAGCAAAGTCTGCTGTGATTAGTTGTGTTGTTGAATCAGTCTTTGTTCTCATCTTTCTCACGACCAATATTGGGGATGTTAATATTGACGTAAATTACTGTCCACCAAATTTGGCTAGCATCCAGCTCTCATCACAAGTGGTTCGAAATTCTGTGACAGTACCCTCTGACAGTACAATGATGAAAAGTCTTAGATAAGGATGAAATGAATGTTGCATGCTTCTAAGATTTTATTATTTTCTTGATGGATATCTTTCCTCGGTTAAATGAACTTTACAATCCACCCACCCCCCGCCCCCATAAATCATATTCTTGGGATCCATATGCCTAATTTCTTTTTGCTACATTGATTAATTTTGTTACCTTAAGAAATTTTCTATATCGTCAAATTATTTTTAAAATTTGCACAACGTATACTCAAAAACAACATTCAGAACAGAACCAGGTAATAGTATAGCAAAAATATTCATTCAGACATCTATAAAAACAGAATAATTGAGCAAAGAATATACTTTTCAGGATTTCATCATGAGCTGACATTAGTTAGAGAACCATTGGAAAACCTGGGAGTACTGGACAGCTGTTTCGTCCTAGTGTGGGACTCTTCAGCAGTACGCACCCACCGGGATTCGAACCCAGGACCCTCCGGTTACAAGTCCCAGTGGCTTAATGGTATACGAGCTCGCCTTGTAACCGGAGGGTCCTGGGTTCGAATCCCGGTGGGTGCGTACTGCTGAAGAGTCCCACACTAGGACGAAACAGCTATCCAGTACTCCCAGGTTTTCCAATGGTTCTCTAACTAATCTCAGCCCATGACGAAATCCTGAAATCAATCAAATCCCTACAAACCAACACTTGAATATCCTTTTCGTTAATTTTCTCTTCTGGCTCATATAATATGTTTATATGCATAGAATATTCTAAAATAGTAGTCAATAACAATATTAGCGTTAATTTAAATAACATCAATTTGTAAAGTAAGATCACAATGGAATTACAGTTCATTAAAGATGCTTACACAATAATAAGCATAAAAAATATAAAAGCAAATAGAATATCAAATAAAACTAAGGAAATTTCTACATAAAGTCGAGGATCATTTGAACTAAGGTGGCCAAGGTAAGGACAATATCTGAACTAGCTTCTTTTGGATACATTAGTTAGGCTTCTTATGTCGATCCCAATGGTAACGTCTTCAAAACCACCCCTATTCTTCGTTTTGTGTGTATCTACTGCTCCTATGCAATGAGCCAGTTACAATAGGCCGTACAATTAGGCGCGTTTCTCGTCGGATTCCCGAACATCATCCTGAATAGTGTTTAAGTAAAGGATAAACAAAATCTATTCGTAGCTCTATTCTATCCCTATCTTGTGGATACAGAACACAAGATTAATGTCAACAAGGTGGCTTTCGAAGTCATTTACCGGATACCTTAAGTGTTCGTTTACTAAATATTGTTGAGGTCGTTGAGATACAGATTAAGAGGCCTAATTTAACAGAGGGTTGCCTCCTTCACTTGTCTGGGAAGCCTCGTTTCAACCCACAAGGAGAACAGATAAAGACGTCAAAGTCAGAATTGGAAAGGCAAGATACATCTGAAACCAGTTTGGAAGTCTTCAGCACTCAGTATATAAGGAACAGAACTCGGATTCTCAAACTTGTACTGTGCTCGAGTCATGAATAGTATTTCCACCAGGTTGCAGACTTTCATCAACACCTGCCACCTTCGCTGGCTCCATTCTGAAGATCAAATGGCCTGCCAGAAAGAATAAGCACTAGGAAACTCTACAGTGGAACAAACCAACAAGCAAGAGCTGATCGCTCAACAAATATGTAGGAGATGGATTGGGCATACATTGAGGAGGCTGCTGAATGACATCGCACTCCAGGACATTGGTCGAGTGGAATCCCAATCGGAAGCGCGAAGAGTAGTGGGTCGTCATACGGAGGGTGACATGGAGGAGATCGTTTGGCGAGGAAGAGATGAGAGAGTTTGGTCAATCGTAGACACCTAGCTGAAGAGGACTACAGAAAACAGAACAAAGTGGAGATGTGGTGTTGTTGAAGCCCTATGTTCCACTCGGAACGCAAGGGAATAATAATAATAATAATTCCATTGTGATAGTACTTAACAAATCGATATTATTTAAAAAGCACACTAATATTGTTATTGACTACTAATCTAGAATATTCTATGTATATAAACATACAGATATATATAATTGTAGAGCCAGAAGAGGAGGAAATTATCGAAGAGGATATTCCTTGCTCAATTATTTTGTTTTCTACAGATAGTAATAATAATTGTTTCAGTAGTTAGTATATATTTATAAAATTTTATTATGGTAGGATAAATAACCTGAAAATCGAAGTAAAGAGTAGACACAACAAGAAATTTAGTAAGAGAATATTCGGGGTGATTTATCCGCTTCCTGTTTATTACCTCACCTTCTAAATAGTATTTTTCAACTGTTCAAAAGAATGGATAATGAACAAAGAGTACTCTTTTCGATAACCCCTTCATCATCAGGCTCTACAAAAACAAAAAACTTGTCTATTAATGAGCCATTGAATTCCATCTCAGTGACTCAATAGCAGATGAGCTCATTTTTTAAACGGAGAAATCCTGGGTTCGATCCGTGATAGGTGAAATTATGGATACAAGTCAATGAAGAGTCTCGTACTTGGACGAAACAACTGTCCAGTACTTTTCAGTTTTCAATGGTTCTCTCGTGATCAAGGCTGAAATCAATCAATCTTGCTACAAACCAAAATATGTGTGGATATTTTCTGGTCTGATATGTCATAAATTATTTAAGTTAGCATTGTGTTTCAAGCGTCCCGATGATTGATTTTACGCATCTCAATTAATGCAGCATGTACGATGCTTGGACGATAGACAGATAATTTACAAAACTGTCAGTTTAACAAGGACTTTTCGATATTTTCATCGGACACTAGTAGTTAGTAACTAGTGTTATGCATTTAGCCTCACATTGGGTGCAAACTGAATTCTACCAGTCAAGTTTGCTAGATGTCTTGTCCCTGAGATGCACTCTCAGTTACTGTCAGATAATTGGGGGGGGGGTGATCGACCTGAAGAACTAGACCTAGGTCTCGTACCTTTTGGCACTTGCCGATTAGAAAGGCGTATCTACAGTAATGTTCCCGCTGGGATTCAAACCCAGGTCACCCAGTGCTACAGTCAGAGACGTCTTAGTCATGTATAGCATACCAGTCGCTGAATAGCTAACCATACACTAACGTTTTCATGTTTGGGAAGTTGCATGAAGAGCTCACGTTTTTTGTGGAATACTAATGAGTCCCACGTAGGCTGAAACGCTGCTCCTGTATTCTGTTGATCAACACGATAAAGTAAATAACCTCATGAATAATATTTTGTTGCATGTTATTTGGCATACAAAGGGGATACAATCAGCCTGCATGGATATATGTATTCACCTAAATCAACAGAGACACACGATATATGTGTCATTCACGGTACAGTTATATTAATATTCGTAAAGCTCAAAAGAAAAGAAAATCGCTCATCACTGGCGTTATTTCATATATTAACCACCCACTATAGTTTCTATTGAGTTCCAGGATTAGCAATCACTGAACGGTGAGCAGGCGATTAAAATGAAATCGATAACAAGTATCCCAGCGATGGAATCTAGTCCCTCAAGATGAAAGACTATCTTCATCCTGTTGAAGTGAACGCCTTCGATTCTTAGAAGTAGTAATTTGGTGATATCATACTCTACAACTAACGCTCTGTCATAGAGACTAAGTTTCACAGGCGTAGAGTTAGACTAATTACATCAAAGCGTTGTAAAACCAATCTTTGATGACCAGACTAACTTATCAGAAACACTGTAGGGGGATCCATTTTGGCGTACACCGTCGTGACTTCACTATACGATCTTTGATCTTTGAACTCAATTATCCTGAAGAAAATAAAAGATAGCTCAGTGAAGAATATTTGCCCGATCGACAAATTCATCTTCACAAGCGGTACAATCTTATTTATATTCACCAGAAACGGTTATTGTAAAAATCAAGAATCGACAGAAATCAGATATTCATGGGCCAGTGAATTTTGTTTCAATGGCGGGAATGGTCAATGATCTAGCTTTATAATTTGAAAGTTCAGGATTCGATGTCCAGTGGATTGATGCGTTCATAATAATAATCATGATTTTCTTTCTTCCCAAACAGTACTTGTGATACAGAATGGAACTCTCAGCATTTCAATACAGTATTGCAACCAGTTTGTACATTGACAATAAATAAAATTCGATTGATTCTATATTACATCGTGATTAAAAGTTTAGCTACTGATATACTTTATCAGTAGTATAATGTGTTTTAAACAAATTATTGAGATCTAACTGCTATGAGTATAACACTAACGATAATTGAGTCTGTACTTATGCTATACAAAATACTGTACTTTTGATACATCTTCACTATGGGGCATTAAAAATGTCACGAGACTTAATCACATGCTGTAAAGTAAATGCTTTCTTCCTAGAAAAATTTGACATACTTTAATAATAGTTCGTTTTGACTTTAGAAGTATGATTCTAAGTACTTCAAATAGAAAATTATTATTTTTACTAATAATGCTTTTTTTCCAAATACTTGTTTCCTATTCAAATTTGCGAAATGCGTTTACCCAGGGATATGGATAATATTATTAATATTATTAAAATTAATGTTGATACTATGTATTTCCAGTGGAATATAGAGTTTCAGTGGTATGTCTCCGTCGCACTCGGTCCTCAGATATCACTTTCAACAGACTTTACGCCTATCTCATACTCTGTCATTTCGTCTTAACATAATCTCCTGCGTATAAGCCTTGGATGCCCAACCCATTACTCCCTATTTAAGTCTTACTTGTGAGCCTGACTAAAAGCTTACTATGTAGTTGATTTTCTTTTCCTTCCTGAAGGGGGGAACTGACTACTTCTGTCTTGAATCCTTCTTCCAATGCTGAGAAATGATGCATTAAGCTGCCCAAAGTAGATTTCAACCAGTCGGCGGTTAATATGTGTATATGTGGATATACTTATTCACTACTAACTTCTCACTTAACACTAAATTCTGTTTCATGCATTGCCATCGATGAAATTCTGGAGTCAACTCTGAAGGATGTGCATGAAGGTGGTGTAGATCTGCTACCTGGAGATAGACTTTTCGACCTCGAGTATGCAGAAGATATCGTCTTACTGTACAATAGCATGCAGGCTTCCCAAATCGCACTTAATCAGTTGACGATCAGTGTCTGTAAGTATGGTATGTGCTTTGCGCCGTCTAAGTGCAAAGTACTGTTATAAGATTGCTGGCAGGAGCCTGTACCTGCACTCACTCATTCGGGTGAACCGCTTGAAGTTGTTGATAAGTTCGTGTATCTGGGTAGTTGTGTTAGTGCTGGCGAAGAGGTGACGGATGAGATTTCCAACATCAACTTGAGCCACCTATGGCGCTGTCGCGACGTTAGCCTGGCTGTCGAAGGTCGGGTATACAATGCTTCGGTGTGGGCTGTCTTGCTCTACGCCTGTGAAACCTGGCCTCTCCAAGTAGGCTGACGATGTGCGGCGACTCTGCGTGTTCGATCACCGCTGTCTCCGCAGAACTGCTTGCGTTCGATGGCATCATCGCGTGAGTAATTCTGAGGTTCGGCGGCGTGTGTTTGAACACAGTGGAAATCACCATTCATTGAGTGTCGTCATCTGGAAACACCAGCTCCGGTGGCTTGGACATGTGCTGCGAATGTCATCCCAGAGGCTTCTGTACAGGTCTCTTTTCGCTGGCCAGCCCTGGAACGGGATGGAAAAGGCGGAGAGGTGGTCAGTCCATGACGTGGCGTCGTGGGACGAAGGATTTTTGTGCTAGATTAGCATCGTGACGACTCCCTGGTTGGGGTCTGCGAGACAGCTCGAATAGATGGGTCGAAACGTTATCGGATATGACCATGAATCGTAATCAATGTGTTGTAATTTCCTTCTTTTTGTCCTTTCTGATCATAGTTAACGAATACTGTTTGAACCTGTTAAGCATGACTGTTTTCCTTCCAGATGAAGTTCTTTATCCGTTCTCTACTTATATTTTTACTTTGAATCTATGTTGTTTTATTATTATTATTATTGTGTGACGCATCTTTCTTGGTGCCATATTGTACCAAGTTTTTTTCTGCGTTTAAATAAAATAAATAAATAAATCATCCATTGCCTATCTATCTATCTATCAGTGATAACATCTTTGACTGTGTGACAGAAAAATCGTAATCTCCGCGGTGGCAGTGATTCCTTCGTGTGCGCTGATTGACCCCGCTGACTAGTTATCAATTATTAATATTACTATTATTATTCTTTTATTTTATTCCTTTACGTTCCCGAAGGAACTTAGGGCTTCAAGCTATAGCTCTAAAGTTTCGGTACCAATGGTTTTCTTTTTACTGGGTAGGGGTTGCTAGCCTTACGAGCCCAACCCTTCCTCTTTACCTGGTCTTACTACCGGCTTGGTGGAGCTTAGGAATTCGTATCCCAAGAATCGAACCCAGGACTATGTGGAGGTGGTCGGCGAACATTCCACCTCTCAACAACCAACAAACCTTTATTTTTCAACTGTTGGTTTGTAGAGATTTGATTGGTTCCAGGATTTTCAGCATGATCTGACATTAGTTAGAGAACATTGGAAAACCTGACGGGGATTACTGGAAAGCTGTTTCCTCCGTTCTAGTTTGGGACTCTTCAGCGGTACGCACTCACCGGAGTTCAATCCCAGGACCTTCTGGTTACAAGGCCTGAACAGGGCCCTATTCAGGTAAGTAGTTACCTGGGGTTCTAGTGAGAAGTCGTAACCAGTAGGGTACAGCAGGTCGGGTGTCACGACAAATACTTGAGGTCGCGCTATGTCGTGAATTGGCAGAAGTTAGAATTCGTGGGCCATTGGATTGGGTCCCAGTGGCTTAATCGTATACGAGCTCGCCTTGTAACCAGAAGGTCCTGGGTTCGAAACCTGGCGGTGGGTGAGTACTGCTGAAGAGTCCCAAACTAGGAAGGAGGAAACAGCTGTCCAGTTCTCCCCGTCAGGTTTTCCAATGGTTCTCTAACTAGTCTCAGATCATGGTGAAAATTCTGGAACTTTATGCATGGAAATAAGTAATTAAATTCTGTGTTGTTGTTTTTCCTTATTTCAGACGAAAAATGGAGAAGCGAATTACCCCTACACCTCACAGTGGAGTAGGACATCATACAACAGCAATAATAATAATAACAGTCATAATAATAATAATAATAACTCAGATACTTCTATCCTATTATATCAACCAGCATCTATTGATCCACATGGACCTGCTCCAAACCCATCATTACCTTGGTCACAATATACAGAACCAATTATATCTCCACCAAGACATCATGAACAGACAAGTATAGTAGAGAAAGAATTATCACAAGTTCATATGAAACAGCCTACAACTCCACGACAGAACTGGTTAAGCCAGGTTGGTTAATTGTGTCCACCTTTTCTTCTCTTTAAAATTTGTGGTTTGTAAATAGTTTTTTTTAAAAGTTAAAAATGTCACTAAACACATCTGCTTTGATAGTGTTTGGTCGACAACTGAGTCATCTCCTTCAGAATGTCTGCTGTCTGGAAAGACAGCGAAAGCTTCTTACAGTTAAACTATCCGGCCTAAGAGGACATGATTACACAGAAATTCTTCATCTGAGCTATAAAGCCTCGTCATCAGTTCTATGGCAAAGGCTATGGCTATGTCGTCCTACTGCATCGCTGGTAATTTATTTCATTCACCTATTACATAATATTTCTTTAACTATTAGCACAAATATAATAGAACGGTTTGTACTTTTAAATAATTTACCTAATTTTTGAACACCTCTTACTGTAAGTACTTTTAGCAGACATTGGTGGATAGTGACTAGCGGTGGTATCCAAGATGTACTTTACATCCTATTTGTGACTCGTTAGCCGGGTGTACCTGCAATCTCCAGTGTGTGATGGTGTTCCCACTGTGACCCGAACCTAGCACTGATCGTTTCAAACGCTAAAGCATTATCCACTTGAAGACTTGGACCACATGATACTCCTCTTGTGCGGCAGGTATCAATGTTTCCCGCTGATTGATCAGACGGAAATATTTAGCAGCTGGAAGTCTCTCAGCCCAAGTGGTCTCGTGGATTATGCTTTGGCATTTGAAACACTGGGTATTGACTTCAAATCCCTGCAAAAACGCAATCACTCATTAAATATTGCAGATATATCCAGATGACGAACCTAAAGTAGGACGAAATGTGCATCCTGGGTTCCACTGTTAGTCACAGCCCACTATATAACGTCTTGTTGAACCTCACATATCACGTAACGATCAAAATAACCAATGTGTTGTGATCTGAACGCGTTAAAGCAATCTTCGCGTTCTATTGTACAGCTAACCAGAACTTTCTTGAGTTACAGGCAGTATGAAAATGTCCTAACGATGTTAACAAGATGGTTATTTGAGATAAAATGTAAGATACTACCTAATGATAATAACATGTCCAATAGTTAAAATCACCTCAATAATGCTCTTAGGGAGCTATACAGATCAAATTAGCCCTAAAATACAAAACAAGTACCCATACTACAGAATTATTCAACTCAAATTAACAGTAAGAAGTAACTAAGACTCAAATGGGATATATTCTCAAAAAGGTGTGATCCAGACTCCATCAGCAAGAATCACATACTAAACAATTCCCGCAGGCAATCCAATCTCAGAATGACCTTGACTCACTCAAACAAATTCACAGTCGCAAAGCAACACATTATCAATATCATCACACAATCACAAAGGGTGTGGCAATATAAGACAAGAGCCAGTCAGAAAACAGACCGTTTATTAAGGAAATCAACACATATTTATAGATTTTCATGTACATTATTATACATTACTGTTAGCGGAAAAACGCAGTCTTCTGATTGGTTGTTTCTCACAGAAAGTTAACCTTGCATCTCTTTGTGGCTGTTTCTTGAATGTCAGATCATCTGTATGCTAACTGTATCCGCCTACGCAAAGCCTTTCTTCTCATTTTTCTCACGACCAATAATGAAGATATAAACACTGACGTAAATTACTGTCCACCAGTTTTGACTAACAGCCAGCTCTCACCACACTCGTCCCCCGTCAAAGACTTCCGACTGAAGTTGATTCAGTCTTCTTGGTTCTAGGGACTTTGCTCGTTTATGTTGCTCTCTGGAAATTCGACACTCGCTGATTTTCACCTGTTTCTCTTTGTTTATCATTGTGATTGTGTCTGTGTAACCCCATTTCAACGTGACCACATGTGGTCCTTCCCACTTTGGAAACTGTTTGCCTGACCTTGTCGCACATTCATGAGTATTTCGCCTCACACTTTCATATGCTGCTTTCGCCCGACCTCCCAGCAGCGTTCCAAGTAGCAGCCTCATCGCTGACAGATCTTGAACGCCACTCAACTGCACAGAAGCCTCGAAGTCCTGCCCGAAGATCCATATGTCTCTGTCAAAACCTGCAGGCATAGGCTTTCCATCTGCCGGTAGGCAGCGACACTAGATGTAACAACAGAAGACAAGGGCCAGGCAACAGATCGTTTATTTAGGAAATCGACAGATATTTATAGATTTTCATATACATTACTATAGATTATTGTTAGCAGAAAAACTGAAAGTTAACTTTGCATCTCTCTATGGCTGTTTCTTGAATGTCAGATCATCTGTATGCTAACTGTATCCGCCTACGCAAAGCCTTTCTTCTCATTTTTCTCACGACCAATAATGAAGATATAAACACTGACGTAAATTGCTGTCCACCAGTTTTGACTAACAGCCAGCTCTCACTACAAGGGAAGCGTTAAAATTAGAGACCAAATATAAGAAAAAATATAAATAAAAAGGATCAAGTCACTATATGATATACAGAAGCCTTAAACAATTATATGCAGTCTAGGAGAAAATAGGATTATTTTAATCGAAGCGAGTTAAAATGTCTAATTAAGTGTCAATATTGTAAACATATCATTCAGGAGGGATCTTTCAAACAGCTGTTCCGACTTACCGGCCACCAAAATCACTCCATGCACTATAAGACACCTTTGAATGCATTTTGCCATGGCTGTATTTATATACTTCTGGCGTACAGGACTTACAATAATACACCTCTACTCCTGTATAACTCCACCATAACCAAATTCTATATCTCGTCATCTACTTGAAGAAGGCAAAGTCTTTCATACTGTGAAGAATCAAATTTTTTCGGAAGATTCAAGAGATCCTTATTCACTGGAAAAATCCGGATTCTCGGTCCACATTTAATGGAATTTGATGACATGGATTATAAACAGACTATATCCAGGGAAGGAAGCAGTATAACCAGGCTGAGCTTAAATAAACTGATGCCAAGCGTTGATGCAGTCAAATAAAGTTCAGCTGTCGAACCAATAAAACCATAAGGCGATGTAAATAATGCATGTAAATATGAAGTTTTCTCTAGCAATACAGCCGACATATCACAATAGTGGCCAGATACTTCGGTTCAATCGATCAACGAGGCAACTAAAAATTTATCATTAAATAAAATAATAATATTCAAGTGTTGATTTGTAGGGATTTGATTGGTTACAGGATTTTATCATGAGCTGACATTAGTTAGAGGACCATTGGAAAACCAATGGGGAGTACTCGACAGCTGTTTCATTCTAGTTTGAGACTCTTCATCAGTCCTGACCAGTAGGGTGAAGAAAGTCGGGTGTGAGGACAAATACTCTCCGAAGACATTGGCTAGCACCAGTCGCGTTATCTCGTGAATTGACAGAATTTGGAATTCATGGACTGGCCATTGGATCGGGTCCCAATGGCTTAATGGTCTACGAGCTCACTAGCCTTGTAACCAGGAGGTCCTGGGTTCGAACCCTGGTGATGGGTGCGTACTGATGAAGAGTTCTAGACTAGGATGAAACAGCTTTCCAGTACTCCCAGTTGGTTTTCCAGTGGTGTCAGCTCATGATGAAATCTTGTAAAATATTAATCTTTACCAACAAAACTAATCACTTCACTGCACCAGATAATCGAATAAATAATTTAACACTTACTATCTATTCAGAATAGTATTATCACCGATGATACTCTTAACTGCGGTGGACTGACTGGATTATGCGTTAGACTGTGGGGAGTAAACTAGACAAGAATACACTGGACTACCGATAAGAAGACTAATAGAAGATCCGTATTTCTCAGATGATATATAGCTAATGTCACACACACACAAACTCGAAGACTTGCAGGCAGACGAAAACCAACAAACTGGCCGAACAGTTTGACAGCGAAGACAGAACTTTAAGTGGTGAACATAGAGAAGACGGAGGTGGTAATGAAGTTAACCAGCCAACAGCAACAACAACATCAAAAACAACAATCAGCACAAATCACCATCAATGGGAGAGATTTGACAGAGGTTATTTCCTTCACTTATCTAAGAAGCCTGGTGTCAACCACAAGGAGAACAGATAAAGATTTCAAAACTTAGCCATTTGGAAAGGCAAGTTACGCTCTCATCAACCTAAAAAAAACCACTTTGGAAGTCTTCTGCACTCAACCTCAGCATAAATAAAGAACAGGATTCGGATTCTGTTCAACACAAATGTGAAGTCAGTCAGTTCTTCAATACGTGTCAGAAACATATTGCAGACGTGTCATGGCTGCACTAAAGTGCAACAGTTTAAGTTGCTACACACTCACATACACACACTTACTTGCACATAAAGGTATGAAAAGAGAAAAAGAAATGTCAACAGATGTATAGCAAATAATTGTCATATATAAAATAATTTATAGGATGGATAGAACTTGAAAAAGGGTGTGCATTTACAGGATTAGTAGATAAATCGAATAAAACAAAAAACGTTACGTAATATTGTCTGAGATTTAATAGCATAGAATTTAACGTTGTAAAAAGGGAGAATTGATTTAGAATGACAAGTGGAACAAGTGAAATAATACCGGGGACAGTTCAAAGTGGAAGTGGAGCAATAAGAAGCGCGATCATTGAATATCTGGTCGATAATGATCAACCTATCTCTATAGCCTCCACCTTTGAAGTCATCTACAAGGCAAAGAGTAATTTAACCGAATTCCTACTTACCCGACTCATTTGTATTGTTAAGGTTTTGGCTATCGAAACAGTAAAGCCAGAAAAAGTTAGTTCAACCCCACCTCCAGCTTTCATGGTCTTAATCACTCTATGCTAAAGTATGCTAATCCCCAGTCATATTTTAGCTCTACCAATTTTTCTTTCTTTCATTTTGTCTATTCAATTTGTTTACTCTTCCCTATTACGTCAATTGTTACTACTATTACTACTCTCACTTTGAACTGTCCCCGGTATTATTTCACTTGTTCCACTTGTCATTCTAAATCACTTCTCCCTTTTTACAACGTTAAATTCTATGCTATTAAATTTCACACAATATT